ATTATTGCATCTTTGAATTATAGTTGATTTATTGCTAACTTTATTATCAATAACAACACATTCTGTAAATTTTGTAGTACATTCTATAGTAGAAGGAATTGGCAAGTTAAGTTCCTCCTCAAGTGTTTCTATCTCATTATTATCATTTTCAAATAATTCATCATTCTCAAATAATTCATCTTTTGTTTCTTCAACAGATTTGGTTATTTCTTTTATTTTATTATATGAATGCCAATCAAATATAAGAGTATAATCATAGGCTGTTGTTTGTTCAATGCTAGTATCAAGTTTTGGGTTAAAATTTTTTTCAAGGTTGAATAAAGATTCATGTAAGAATTCTATTTTTTTTTTTAATACTATATATATAGTAATATTTGAATTAAGATTTTGTTTTCTGTTTTTTTTTAAAACTATGTATTTATTAATATATTTTGTAAAAATTAAAATTGTAGATATCTTTTATTTGATAAAAAATATTAAAAAAAACAAAATATGAGTTGATACAATAGTGAATAACCAGGATTCTTTGCAATTGGCAAGGTTAATTACTGTTTATACTTGCTATAATTAGTGATTATAATTTTATTTATCAATTATGTTCAATTACAATTTAAAAAAAAATAAAAAAAAAACTCAATTTATAATTTAATTTAATATACATTCTGATACAAGAATAATCGATAAGAGATCCAATTATCTATATCTGAATTTATTCGGATATCCATTTACTATTGATATCCAGATAATCTAACAAATATTCAGATAATTATCTGGATATCAATAGTAAACCGGATATTCAGATCTGGATATCTGATAGATAAATGAATAAACAGATAATGGATTGGAACTCTAGTTTAAAACTAATTAAAAAAAGAATTTTAAATCGCTCATATTTCAATATAAACAGAATAACTCGGGTAGAGTTGAGTTCTTATCTCATTATCTGTTTATTTATTTACCTATTGGGTATCCAGATCTGAATTTATTCGGATATCCATTTTACTATTGATATATGAATAATTATCTAAATATTTGTCAGATTATCTGGATACCAATAGTAAATGTATATTCAGATAAATTCAGATATAAATAAATGGATGGCAGATTTATCCGAATTGGGCCTCTAAACATGGGAGCAAATTCTGGTCGTAATCCTTTGTGTCTGTTGAACAAATCCATTGGATGATCTTTAACAATTTTAGAGTGTGATTGCAATAGCACTCAAGTAAAATTATATTTACATAAAATTTTTAATGAGAATTCGAATATGTAATTGAAATTTTCTCAAGCATCATCATCTTCGATGTGATTAATTAGTGATCATAATGGTGCAATCAATGTTTGAGCAGTTTTTTAATTATTCGTCAAAAATAAAAAATAAAAATAAAAAATAAAAAAGCAAAAAATAAAAAACAAAACCAACTGTTAAACAAAAATCCAGTGGATTGAGCTAAAAAAAACAGTTGGATATTCACGGATCCAAACACTACTTTGCAGATATCAACTGCAAAGCTAGCATCAAATAGATAGCTATCAAAAGGTCTCTGCCCAGTTGGTATTTTTGCTATAATAACACCTAGTCCATAGATATCAGCTGCTGGCATATAATAACTTTCACCTGACAAAACTTTAGATGCAACGTAGGGTATAACTCCAATAAATAATGCTTATACTCCTAAAATTGACTTGGGCTATAAGCATAATCTGTTATTGTTATAGTTAAATCCGTGTAAATTCAAGTCGCTAGAAGTAATCTAAAAACTTACTAAAATCCAAAGAAGTCAACGAGTGTTTCGCAAAATATGTTAGCTAATACTTTTCTTCCTTCTGATCAAAGTTTATAATCCTAACTTAAGGTTCGAAGAAGTTAAGGTGACGTTTTTTCTTCTTTCAATCCAAGTTTATTATTTCAACTGAGATCCGAAGAGGCCAATATGGTGTTCTTGCAAAGTGCATCCTTCACTTCATCCTAATCATAAACTAAAAATAAGTTGTAAACAGTTTTGTAAGTTTACATTAGGCTTTAATCTCTGTAGAAGTTTCATTTTTTGTAGTAGGAACTTGCTAACTTGATTCTTACTAAATACTATAGAATATGAAACAAAAGAGCATCTTCGAGGGCAAGATTCTTTTTGAGTTTATTGTTTTTCTTAATTTAAATATAATGATAATAAAGTATTTGCATTACTGAATTATTCACATTTGTTCAGAATGCTTTTTTTTTTATGAAACCCCTGAAAGTGATGATTAAAAATGGCTTACTGTTGCAATTTACTATGAAAATCGAAAATTTCATATAAGTGTTGATCACTCAAATTTTATAGTAAAAAATTTATTCACCTGATCTGCATGACATCTCGATCAACTGGTAGTGTTAATCAAGTTGGTGAGAACGGTCTGATATATGTTAGATATGGCTTTATTTGTATATAGGTTCTTTATTTATTAATCTTGGCTGATTTTAGAGTGATCTTCTCCTTTTATATAATCTTCACGGACTTTAGATTTTAGTGTCATATTTACTCATTCATGATATTTCTTTATTAAGGAAAGACCTATAGGCATGCAGATTACCTTCCTGGTATAGTCCTTGGTTTGTATATCTCTAGAAATAGCACGTTGTGTATATAATACAGACCTTTCCACTTTGGTCTAAGCTTTCCAGTGCATTGTTGGTCTAGAGCAGCATTAAACAATAAGACTTTATCCCCGATTTGGATAGTATTAGCCTTGTTTAATTTATTATTAAATCGTTCTTTCTGTTTTAATTGAGCCTTCTTAATTCATTGATTAGCAATCAATCTCTTTTTAATCAACTCATTCTCTAGCCTGAATAATCAATCTAACAGATTCTCTTCTAGAATCTCAGACAGATCTTGACAGAGAATCTAGAATGTCTACTATAGGTTAAGTAAAAAGGCTCAATCTTTGTAGTGGCCTGTTTCATTGTTCTATAAGTGAACAATGTAGGTGATACTAACAGGTCCCATTCTTGTTCTTGGGTCATGGACTTTGCTAGGGACTTACATAATGTGTGGTTAAATCGTTCTACCAGGCCATTCGTTTGGGATGGTAAGACATTGAGAATAAATGTTTTACCTAAATTTTTTGAATAAATATTTAATAATATTATTTCTAAAATGTGTTCTTTTGTCTGATAAAATTAACTCCGGACACCCATGTTGATATATAATATCGTTATAGATAAATATAGCGACTTGTAAAGCATTAGTCACTGGAATGGGTTTCGCTTCAGACCACTTTGTTGCATAGTCAGTAGCAACGACTATATAACAGTTCCTCTGAGCAGTTAGTAGCAAAGGTCCCACTATATTTATATCTATCCTCTGAAACAGCGAGCTTACTGGGATTGGTTGTAATGGTCTAGTGGATCTTTTTCACCCTCTTCTTTGGCAGTTATCACATAACCTGACATACGTATGAATACATTCGTACATTTGTGGCCAATAATACAACTCCTTAACCTTTCCAAACATGTCATCAGTACCGAAATAGCTATTAGCTGAATGGTTATGTATTAGGTATAGTATTGTTTCTACTTTATCTTTCTTAGTGACTTTTAGCAACCTTCCATGAGACTGACTTCTCCTATCTTTTTTGTATAAGAATCTATTCTTGATTTCAAAAAATCGACTTTTAGAGCTTATCTTTGCTTGCTTTGCCAGATCAAGACCTTGGGGTAGGTTATTGGTTTCTATGTATTGTTTTAGTTGTTCATATTCTTCGTGATCTATCTTTATTTTTGTTGCCAGGACACCAGAACCTGAGCTGAATTTGGTTACTTTGGATTTTTAAATTTTTTTGATAAGTATAACCTTCCTTTCTTCTTGTCATTTTAAGAATTTCTTTTAACCTCTTTAATTCTTCTTCTATTCAATGTCTTTGTTATCTTAGATTTGTTTTTAGTTCTATTCAACTTCTAATTCCTTCCTATTTTAGCTTTCTTTAGGTTCAATGTGCCCCTTTTTCACACATTGGTATCATGACCAGCCTTTAGATAGTCATGTCCACTGCTACTCTAATTTTAGTATTCTTTTTTTTTTTTTTTTTTTTAGAAATATATATACCATCTATTATTGTCTCTATTACTTTCTTCTACTCTCTATTACCCGATATCCTTTTTTTAAAAAATTTTTTTTATATTATTATTAATCTATAGTGTTGGCTATTAGGTTTTCAATTATTTTAGCATTGAGGCCACTGTGTTAGATTTCATTAATATCCAACTCTGCTTCTTTGGCACCTTCTGCTACCCATTGTTGGAGTGTGATTAGGTCCATAGAGTCATTAGCGATAAGTGGGAATGTAAGAAATTCCAAGTGGTATATAGCTTGCTAAAGGTCGAGTTGTCTTGTAGCATAATGTGTACTCAAGATTGGTGCACATATAGAAAGTACTCATGTTCATTATCCATGCAGGCTTCAGCAAATACTAGTCTCCTGCGGCATCTAGAGCTCATTAACTCAAAGACCGTTACAGGTACAAAGTTGGGTTCATTACCACCTGTTTGGTTGGTGTTGTTATTGGATAATTACTCTCCTTCATCACTACTATTTGGGGTGTAGCTACTTCAGGAATGGTCGACATGGGTATGTAATCAGCATTTACCATACAAGCTTAAACTTCTTCTTCTTGCTTTTTTTCTGATTTCATTTCACTAATCAAATTAACCATCTCATGTAACTCTAGGTTAATTTTCTGCCTAGTTCCCATGTTCACATCTAACTCTTTCTGTATCCTTCTTCTTAATAATCCTTGTTGGGCTGCTTCTAACAACTATTCTCTAAGCAGAATAACCTGGTTAAGCTCATTGGTAATTAGGTTATAGTTAAAGAAGTGGTTGAGGTAAACAGGTTCTGTGAGGTTCAGTTTGGTCATGGCATAGTAACCACCTAATTGTTTATGTCTGTATATATAATAGGTGTTGTCATAATAGATACAATAGCCTACATATCTAAGATTTTTGATGTGGAAAATACTTATCTGGGATAGCTCCATCTTTCCTTTATTCTTGGAGGCAAGTTTTTTAATTACCTTTTCTCCTTTACTCAATTTAATTTTTACTTTGCTTTGATTAATATTTAATGTTTTTACTTCTTCTTCATGGAGTCTAGATAACGTGTCAATATTATTATATTTCTTGCCAGCTTTATAGAGAATTGTAAAGTTATAGGTTTCTAGGTGAAGTATCTACCTTACACACCTACCTTTTAGTTCCGAAGTCTTAAGCCATTTAAGAGCTAAATAGTCTGTAACTAGATAAAAGTGGGCAGTGCCTAGATATTGGTAGAAGTGTTCTATAGCCCTTAGGCACTCTAATTCTGTTACATGATAGTTTTTTTCGGCTCTTGTAAGGCTCCTACTTGCATATGCTACTGCATATTTTTTATTATTATCAGCTACTTGGGCAACAATACCAGGGTGTAGGATTGATTTTCTGATCACATGATTTTCTAACGTCAATTAACCAATCAAAAATCAGAATCAGGTGTAACGTAAAGAAATCAAAACAAACGTTTGCTTTGCAAAAATCGCATTTATCTCAAAATTTAGACTAGTAAATCAACTTTTTGACTCTAGCAAAAAAATTTTCTCGTGCAATTTTGCTATATTATAGCTTTTTCTAACCACAAATAATATATAAATAAAAATATAAACTAATTTTTTTGTTCGAAGACTGTTGATATTGGAAATCATGTGATCAAAAAATCGATTTTAAGCCATGTCAATTTCTAATATAGCGCCTAATCTGGTGCTAGAAGTATTGGTGTATAGGTAAAAAGGTTTCAGGAAATCGGGGTAATGAAGGACCGGGCCATAATTAATTGGTTTTCAATACCTTAAAGGTTTCTTGTTGTTTTTTTTTCTATTCATAGGTTTTATCCTTCTTTAATAGATCATGTAAAGGCTAGGCTAGTTTAGAGAAGTCCTTTATAAACCTACAATAATAAGAGGCTAGGCCTAAAAACCCTTTTAGTTGCCATAAGTTGGTAGGGATAGAGAAGTCTTTAACTTTGATTACCTTATCTTCATCAAGTAATATACCTTCCCAGTTTACTTTATGCCCTAGAAATTTAATTTCGTGGAGAAAGAGATAATATTTTTCCTTATTAACCTTTAGTTTCGCCTCTCTTAGAGTGGCAAAGACGGCTTTTAGATGTTGCACATAGTCTTCAAAAGTTTTAGATTAGATGGTTATATCATCAAAATATACCACTAAAAACTTTTCTTTATAATCACTCAGTACTTCGTCCATAAGCCTCTAGAATGTCATAGGGGCATTGTATAACCCAAATGGCATCACGTTAAATTCGTAGGTGCTAAATTTGGTTATAAATACCGTTTTCTTCTTATCCTCTTCCTGCATGGAGACTTGCCAGTAGCCACTAGCTAAGTCTAGGCTGGAGAACTATTGGGCACCTTGGAAGGACTCTAAGACTTTCTCAATTAAGGGCAAAGGATAAGTAACCTTTTCAGTTATGCTATTCAACTTCTTATAATCAACTCATAAACATTTTTTACTATTCTTCTTAGATATTATAACAACGGGTGAAGACTAAGAGCTACTCTTGTATTTTTTTACTATGCTTTTTTTCTCCATAGCCATAATTTCCTTAAGCAAAAACTCTTGTTCATCCTTGGAGGTACGGTAATAAATTTGCTTGATTGGTTTGGCTATACTAGTATGAATCTCATGTTGAGTTAAATTGGTATAGCCTAGCCCTAAGGTTTGACCTTCCTTGGCTATATCCTCCGCGAATATGTCCTTATTGTTGTCTAATAAAGTTTCTATAACTAGTTTCTCTTTTTTACTTAGTTGTTCTAGGCTATCTTCAACCCCCATACCCATAGAATCTACCTCACATCTCTAATTACTATTTCTTCTTTGGTATTATCCAACTCAAACTCTTCAGAGTAGTATGTTTCATACTCTTCTAACTCTTTTTCTTCGAATTCTAATTCTTCTAACAGCTCCTCTAGGCTATCCATTTCCTCGCTATTGTTGTCTATTAAAGGTTGGCTATCTAAATAGGTGGTGGATATAATAGTTTCATACCCATTGTATTTTACTTTTAAGGTTCTGGTGTTAAAGTCCCATTGGGCTTGTACCTTCTTAAACCAATCAGTGTCTAAAAGAAGAGTCTCTTCCGGGGACTTTATTACCTAAAGTTGGATAGGTATAATTATGTTTTGCACAGCCAACCTGGCATCGTTAATTTGGCCTAGTGCTCTTTCTTTTTGACCGTTGGCTGTGACTACGATGACTCTGGAGGGAGTATCTATGTTTAGCTCTAATGTTCTCCTTAACCTATTAGTAATTATATTAACGGCTGCTTCTAAATATAATATAGCGACTACCAGGTTTCCTTTCATCCTAATATAACATTTTGCGGCCATAGTTTTACATGAATCCATATTATCTATGTTATGGGTGTAGTTCATTGTGATGGGTTCAACCGGCTGGGGGCTATGGTATAATAATTTGCTAAGTTCCTTTTTTGATTAGGATACTGTAGCATTTGACCTAGGGTGGTGCTAGATAAAAGCCTTAGGATGTCTTTGAAGATATTGTAAGGCTTGACTCTATCAATTACTGAAGGCTGCCTTCTAATTTTTGGTTTTTTTACAGTAGATACTAGTTCAACAATTTCTTCATCCACCTGCATAGGGCTGAGCTTAACGTGTTTTCTCAAATTATACTCTCCTTGAGGCTCTAACCTCTTCCCTTTATGGACCTTGGGTTAGTATTGGATAATTTGTAATGGTTCATAGTCCTGCTATAACCTGTTCTTCGCTAAATAAATGTTCATTAATCCAGGCCATATTTACTTTTCTATTCTCAGGCCTATTAAGTCTACTATGGTCATTTTGGTTAGGATGCTCAGCTAAGCAGCTATGTGCTAGGTGATTGTGTTCACCACAGACGTAACATCGATGGGTTTTTGAACTTTTGGTACATGAGTTGCGCCTGGGTTGGTGGGGTACCTAGTATTATTATCTGGGGTGCTACTTATTTTTCTTGTCTAGGGTCCTGAAACACCTATTAAACAAAGCTACGAAGAAGGTGTTTTCGGCTGCAGACCAGCTAGTGACTTTGTCTTTAATGTCATTATACCAAAAGAATACATTTTCAAATAGATAACTGGAGGTGATTTCAATTTTTCTTTTATCCTTCCAGTTATTAGCTAATATTGCTTTTTCAAACATAGCTACCCACTCAATAGGATCCTCATTATCTATACCATGAAATTGGTCGACTTTAATGATATTTAGTTCCTTTACACCACCAGGTGTTCCTCATTTAAATTTATCTGCTAGTTCTTTGAAACTGTCAGCGACTTGCTTAAGGAGTTGGTAAAGTTAGGTGGAGTCCATTATTAGTTTCTCAGATACATATAGTTATTTTTGTACTATCTAATAATTATCTAGTCTATTCTAACACTACTATGTTTATTATTTTTATTTTTTTTAGAAATTCACATAGAATTTAATTCTATAGCTTATACAAAGCTATCACTTTTAAACTTACACAGAGTCTTTTTGCAAATTCAATATTGATTCTTCGTTACGAATCTTACAGGTCACCACCAATTGTTAACCTGCGTATACCTCTCAGGAACAGGGTTAATGGTTCGACTAATAACAGGGAGTCATATAAACACGGAGATACGAAAACCGTGTAGTGGTTTGTTAAAGTCGTAAGTATGTATTTTAGTAAGAGAGTTTAGTATAGTTGTATGATTTGGGCAATACGAAAGAATGTGTGTATGTATTTTCAAAATCAAATAAAGAAAGTGTCCTTTATTAAGTATTATATATATATTATCAAATGCTATAGCAAGCATGCCTACAAAGTGGAGTGAAACTCGCCCATATATATAATAAAATAATTACTACTAAAATTATATGATATTTATGCCATAAGCGTTTGATCTATCATTACTGCTATTACTTGCATTACCAACATTTATCCCAGTCCCAATATTTCTCTCATATCTATTTCTTATGCCATTTCTTCCACATCTGCCTCTTATGCAATAAGTGGCTGATGTGACAGAAATGGCAGATCTGGCATTTTCAGGACAGCATTCCCGTGACTTACAACTGACCTATGACTTAAGGACATCAGGATACATTTCCAGAGGTAACACCCAAAATATACTATCAAATTTATGATCATATGATACACTCTGGACCCATAATGCTATGCATTTTCCTAGTATTTATGTGTCCTTGAAGAAGGTATTGTGAGTTACTCGACTTACTGTATGACAAATGGGTCACAGAACCTGTCCAGGTATTTGAGTAATCTGATGTTTGAATATTTTGCTTAACATTATCATTATGTTCCCACTACTCCCAAAAATGTATGCTTGAAAAGTTTGCTCATGTGACTTCCTGTGGCTTGTTCAGGGACCTATCCCATACTGTACTATATTGGATGTATTTGCTAAATGAACACGTAGCTTTAGGTATAAGAACGGTTGTTATGACTGTTATATGCAAGGAAGAAGCACATGACAAGTATTACTAAATGAATTTACTTATCGGAGATTAGAATGAATACTTATACTTAGAGATGGGCATATGCGTGATGCATGTGATTTTTTTGAATCCCATGTAGGATTTTTAATATGATCCCAAATAAAATTATCTGGCTAGCATTACCAAACTATCTGGCCAGCATTAATATAATATCTGGCTTGCATTAACTATCTAGACAATTTCTAATTAATTT